AAGATTTGTTCATAATTTTCAATAGTTCAATTATGCATCTATTAATGTGCAACAACATAAGAAGCAAAACATAGTTGGAGATTAACCCAGGGTATAACGCCTTCTTTATATTTGGGGTGTTAATTTAATATTAAATGTTATCAATACAGAGATGATGATAGTTGCAATAACTTCAGATGAGGTTTATCCTGGTTATGATTAATTTCTCTGTATTTTCACCACTACAGACTGTTATTTGATCCAACGATTGAAAGTTTTTTTTAACATTATCTTAAAGGTCTATCAGTTCTTTTTTTGTGGTGAAAAAAAAAGTAAAATCACAAAAATACTGAACGCTGAGGAAAAGTCAAAACCGAAAGTCCCTAATCAAATGGCAAAATCAAAAGATAATGAGTAAATGCATTTTTGTTTGGTTCTTCGTTAAAAAAAAAAGATGTCATTTAAATTAAAATTTCAGATTTATAATGAAAATTTTCCTAAGACATTTAAATTAAAATTTAAGATTTATAGTGAAATAATAATTTTCCTAAAATTTTTACATTTTCAAAGCATTGTAGTTGTCAGATTATAGAATAACATAGTACTTGAAATTGATTTAAACTCGTAGTCTAGTGCATGCAAAGTTCCGAAGCAAAACATTCTTTATCTTCAGAGTTTTGGTGTAGACTTAACAAATATCAAATGATCATTTCAGAAATACATTATGCTTGGAGCGCTGCGTGTCTTTACTAACATATAACAAAGTTGCTTATTGGTGTTTAAGTAGTAGGGTTGGTTATATCTTCTGTTTGTTTCAGTTGTTCTTCAGATGGTTCTTTGGTTTTGAGGTATTTAGGGTGTGGTGTTTACCATTCAAAGGAATCTATATATGTAATTCTGAAATGAAAAATATTTGATATTTCTAGTCATAAAAAAAATAAATGTTTGAGCATAAAGCTGCTTTGAACTTTGAATCTGTACGATTTTCATACTTTTTTAATTTCTTATTTTCAAAATTGAAAATGAATATCTTAAATCAAAATCAAAATCTAAATTGTATTTGACATATTATGATGAAATGGAAAACTAGAAAACATATTCTCATAAATTCAGTTGAATTCAGGAGAAGTGGAAAATGATCCCAAAAGTTTTTTAGATATACTTTTATCTTCTTCAAAATTGTTTCTGGGTATATACCTCTTTAAAGCACTGATTGCTATTAAGATAATAAAGAAGTAAAAATACATTTTTATAACAGTCAAGCCATAACGAAAATTCTGCCATACAAAAAAGAATTTGGATGTTTAATCTACATTTATTATAGAGTTATAAACATAATCGCAAAGGTTATTAATTCTTACATGACTGAAAGCTTAATACAAGTCTTAATATTTAGTGAACAATAATAAATTTCTATGATATATATATTATTATCACTATTTTACTGAATTTTCCTTTCATCTTACTGATAATTTCCTTTCTCAGCATAGTAGAAAGATATGGAAAGTATCTCTAGAAACTAAGGCTGCACGTGCCATTGTCAATGTAAATTTCAACGTCGTCACAAGCAAAATAGCGATAAACAGATTATCATTGGTCATCTCAACTTGATTGTTTTTCTCACTTTCACGGTACCGGCTCAAGAGAGAAAATCAATCTTGTTGAGATGACCAACGAAATTTATAATGATTTCCAATACCCTAAAAACTTCATTTTGAGTTATCTGAAACTATCATCATCTCCAAGTGAAGAGTTATCTAACTTATCAATCCCGATATCTTATAGTAGTTATCTCCCTTTGCTTCAAGCTTCTCAACCTTGGGTTAATTTTCAACTCTCACCTTCAACACTAGGTTTTCATCCACAGATTCTAGACATTAAATGATAACTTCATTATTATGAGACCATAATTGACAACTGGTAAAATGTTTTAATTTTACTTGTTAGTCCCATTTAACAATTGCTCATCGTAATTTGTCAAATTTAAATTGTCTTGAGTTTAAGCATTTCTTTGTAAAAATTTCCTGTTTAATAGAAAATTAATTTTTTTAACTTCCCAAGCCATTCTGTAATCAATATATTAAAGGATAATTTTGTCCAGCTTCTTGAAACAATTTTTCTTTTTTGCAATCAAAAGTATTGACAGTGAGCAGGATCATTTCAAGATCACAAAAAAGGAGCTGAAAACTGGTCTATTTTATTCTATTTATTATGTGTACATGAAAAGGAGTAGATTGTACAACACAAAAATTTCAAATTTCAAATCATAAGTTTGTTAAAATATAGCTCATTTTATACAATTTAGATCTTTTATTAAAAAAGGTATTAGACTGATCTTAACCCTATCATACCGTTTGAATTACAACATAAATTAATTTGCTCCTTGGTATCAAACCATTCTATCTTTTTCAGATTTGGTAATTACAATATAGGTAAAGCAGTTGCCATCATAAAATACTTTAAAAAAATAAAATAAGTAAAACCCAATTATCAATAACTGACTGCAGCTATTCTTCATTGGATCCTTTTTGAAACTCATGGCCAGACAATGAGTAATCTAAGAGCTTGACTCTTTAACAGGGATCCAACTTTAGCCTCATTAGTTCAAAGGAGTTTTCCATTAGTCCATAATAATTAAGAAATAATTGTTGCAAGTTATACTTTATTGTAGTTTTAACATGGGTAGGCATTATATACGTGATTATTTTTGCCTGAGCGATAGCTTACAATCAGTTCTGTTAACCAAGCAGTTTTAGATTTATATTAGACCCTGTTTCAGACTTTGGGGATTTAATCACTAAAAAAGTTAAAGATAACCAGACTATTTTAGATTTAACTGGTAATCTGTTTTCTTTTCCCGGTAGCAAAAAAGAGCTGATTCCTGTAAGGTTGTATATTGGCTGCTTCTGGTTCTTATCCATTTAAGGAACTAATGATTCCGGAGAGTGCAGTAACCTTGCCTCAGTCCATTATTGTCAAGATATCAGTGATTTTCCTTTTTTTCTGACAAAAGTCATTGGAAGTAATCTTACATAAAACAAATTTTGATATAACCAATCAAAAATGCTATCATAAATAATCTGGGAACAAAAAATTTTACTTTTTCTATTGTAAATTTTGCTACTATTTTTCTTTCAAGTATAAAACTAAAGTAAAAAGTAAAAATCTATTTTATTGAAGTATTACGTGCCATTTGAGTTTTGAAATTAATTTAAATTATAAAGTATTGAAATTAATTTTTATTATAAAGAATCAGTATTTATATCATTTCTTTGAGTTCTTAATTTTTTCTTTCTAAATTTTTTTATAAAATCTAAAGATTTCATACTTGATACATGTAAATATCATTTTGCATCATATTTGTATTTTTTCATTTCAGCTTCTTTTTCTTGTACCACTGAAACTTCACAGAATAATTGCGTACATTTTGAAGTTGTGTACCTGCTTATATGAAATTGTTTGAGGAATTTCCCCCCATTTTTCCCTTAATTCTGATCTTGATGATAATTTGTTTTCCAAAATTTTCAAAGATGGTACTGATTTTGTGTAATCAACTCCTGCAGTTTTCAATCTCAATCTTTTTAACTTCACACAATGATTGTACAAATATTTAAGTTTTCCACTTGGTACTATGGAATTGTTTGATAATTTTTTTCCTGACTTGGGAACTAAGTAATTTTTCATCAAAGGTAAAATAAATAGTTTTTAACCCATATCTTTTGGAATTCACAGAGAGTTTGCAAATCTATAGAGGCTTTTACAAATTTTGGGACTATACATGACTACTATGTACATAAGTAGTAAACCTTGAAATTGAGATATTTTTGATTAAACTATGCTTCAAAATATTTAAAAAATGTTAATTTATATGTGTTTATTATACTATTACTACACTGTACTTTTTTTCTTACATTTGTATAAGTATTTTCATATCAGATGTCTGATAACTTATATAAAAGTTATTATCTAGAGCTCTGTAAATAAAAAAAAATGTAAACATAGTTCTAAAATATACTTTTAATGAGTGGAAGAAATTGTGGGGTACAGAATACATTTCGTAAATTTTCAAAATACAAGTTACCTGTTTAAAAGCATGTCTGGTATTTTTACAGTACTTTTTAAATGAATTTAATAAATTATTTGTATTTTAATTTGAGAATTTCTTCAGTTTCCATGATTGGAAAAATAATGTGAGATGCCTTGGAACATTCTGGTGACTATTGTACATTTTATAATGTACAATGGAAAGGACATTTCATTACTTAGATAAAATGGATTCAGTGGACTGATTAGCATAAAAAAAACTATGATGGAAAACCTTTGAAAGCAGCCAGGAGAGCAGCTCCAAGGAAGATGGTCAAATAAATCTTCAACCAAGTCTGAGGCTTTACCAAGAAATTAAGAAGGCAAGTTTATTTAAGCCAAATATTTGTATACATTTTCTAGAAATATTCGACAAGAAGTGCATATTAAGACAACACGCCAGCACCCTTCTGATCTTCTGCATCCAAAACACCATTGATGTATTAATTTTAATAAGTTTTATAATTTAAGTTACCATTTTCTTGAACAAGATTTTCGAACAAAATATTTAAAACTTCAAGGGGAGATAAGTACAATTAACAGCAAGATTTGTTCATTCAATGGGATATAACTGTTAAATTTGCACATCACTTTTGTGCAGTTAAATTCCAAACAAAAACCTTTGACTTGTTTTATTTTTATTATGTCAAGTTTTCTGTTTAGTCAGGTGAATAGTTACTCCTTGCTATAGATCAATGACATTTTGTATTTATTTGCATTACTAATAAATTATCGAATTAATTAGTAATGTTGCTAATCATCAGATGTTTTTCATTTTCCGCTGCTAGGCGAGACATCTCTGTCAACAGTTTATCTTACAAACTTGTGTTGATACTATTGTGTACATTTTGTAAGAAATCAGAACATTATATAGTGACTTTATATTTATAGAGAAATGGATTTGTAAAATATATAATGTGTCTTTTTTAATTCTTTTTAGGTTCTTCTGTGATATGTTTTCATGGTGTGGGAATAAGACTTGGTGGTCTAATACAGCTAATATGAAGGTATGTACCAGTATGTTAGTCCTGTTTTGAAAAAAGAAAAAGTATTTTAAAATGTATTTGGAAATAGCATGTGCTCTAATTTAAAGCATGAAGGTTTGTAGGAGTTTGGTAAGAAGTCTTTGCTTTCTTTAATTGCCTTTAAAGGAGTAAATTTAATTATCTGATTTGATTATGTAAAAGTTTGTTGGGATGCTGGTTTGCTGTTCTCAACTTCCATTACATATTTATAGACTTTTATTTAATTTGCCACTAGACATTTAGCAACCAACAATCAAATGAATCAATCATTCAAAATATGGAATATACATACAGTATATCAAAAATGATCCTTTTAAACAATCTTGAATGACTAATTTTATTTTTCAGGTTAGCATCACAGCTTGTCTGTAAAGATTGAAGCTGGGAGTGGGCATTGGAGCTGACTTTTATTGTAAGAACCAATACAAAAAAAACAATATGTAAAAAAAGAAATATGTTAGACATATCTACCATTGACTTGTTTTTCATCCTTTTCTGCTAATAAAGACTGGTAGTTCAAAAAATATATCAGCAAATCACTTTTAGTCAAAGTAAGAGAAAGGTTTTATGAATCATGATTATAATGACCAGTTATTTATTATTTTGCATTTGATATTGTTTCAATTTTCAGATTTGACAATTACGTTTAATTCTGTATATTTCTTTTTCAGGTAACTGTGGCTGCATAAAAGGGCTATGTGATTTTACTGTAACAGTAAAGAATGTAATTCAGACTATTTTTGTGTATGTTTGAGAAAATGTTTATAATTTTTACAAAAAGAAAAAAAAATTATGTACAGGTTCTCCATTTTCAACAAGATTGGAAGTTGTAGGTTAATAGGTCTTTGAAATTTCAAAAATTACTTTCTATTTTCTGTTCATACTCATGTCTAGGCAAAACACTTCCAGTAGTTTAAGAATGGAGAATCTAAAAAAAAAAGAAAAAGAAAAGAAAAGAAAAAGAAAAAAATGTTCAACTATTGAAATGTTTTTCATTTTTGCAAATTGTAATATATTTTTTCACTTTTGTGTCATTTTTAGCTGAGTTTATAACAAAGGGTATATTATTTTAAGAATATTTTACAAGAAGCATAGTTGAAGAATATCTTGATGAAAGTAGATTGATTGATTTTTTGTATTTAACACCACTTTCAGCATGATTTGCTATATCTAATGGCTGCCAGTTTTTATTTGTTGAGACAGCCTGGTGAAAACATCCCCTTCAACAGAGAAACTGGCAACTCTAGTCAATTAAGATTGACGTTAAACACACCTACAATGTGAGGGTTCAGAGTGTTGACAGGCTAGTGATACAGTAGTTGAACTACTTTGACCATTCAGCCACCATTACTCCATCCGCATTAAACATTAAATATGTTATTGAAATGTGTTGAATTTTTGTAATTTAATTATTTTTTTATTTTGATTACCGGTATACTATTTATGTTTTTTTGTTATATATAACAAAGATGTGGAGTTCTAACAGGGTGAAATTTAGGTCAAAGGGAGGTAATTTTTTATACTGTGTTTAACTTCAAATACTTGAAATTCCCTCAATGTTAGATTTTTATTTACTTGGATACTCACATTTATGCACTTTTTTACATATCAGATAATAGAAATTTAGTCTGGGAAAAATTGTGTCACTTAAAATAATTACATGAAATTTTTCAAACAGTTTATTAATTGAAAGTGCATCTGATATTTTTTATGTATGTTACTTTATTTTCTAAAAACAAATGGACACAACATAGATTGACAATAAGATATTGAGAAGAACCACCTTGTCAGCCAGGATAGCAGCTCTTAGGAAGATGGTCAATTAAATCTTCAACCAAGTCTGACTCTTTACCATGAAAATAGAAAAGGCAAGTTTATTTTAGCCAGATCTTTTAAGATAACAGACCCTTCTGAAATATTGCATTTAAAACACCATTGATGAATTAATTTACCAGTTTAGTATTTAAAGATACAAGATACATGAACAAGATTTTCTATTAAAATATCAATAGTAAATCCTAAAAATAGTCATTAAACCAAGAAAAGACCAGTACAATTTAAAACACGATTTTGCATTCAATGGGAGATAACTTTGTAAAATATTCAGATATATTTTGTGCAGTTATATTTAAATCTGACGTTTTTTTACTTTTCTATCTTTTATATTGATTTAAAAAAAAAAAGATTTTATACAATTGTCTACCTGCAATAAGAAATCAGAACAATATTTAGTAAACTTTAGGTTATCGGTAACACATAAATTGATTTACAAAATTTATAATGTGTTGATTATAATTTCATTTCAGGTTCTTTCTGAGACATGTTTTCATGGTGTGGGAATAAGACTTGGTGGTCTTATACAGCTAATACAAAGGTATGTACCAGTATGTTAGTCCTGTTTTGGAAAACTCAAATGTATTATAAATATTTTATGGAAAAACAAGATTGAACGCTTAAAAAGATTTTTTACAGGAATCTTCTATTATTATTATATCAGTAACCAAATAAGAGTAAAGTTTAGGATCTGAATTTACATAAAAATGTGTTGGCTTGTTGGATTGCTGTCTCATCCATATGTTCTTGACATATATAACACATTTTAAGACTATTTCTATTTAATGATTTGCCACTGGACCTTAAGCAACCAACAACCAGTCATTCAATCTATTCAATATACATAATACCAACAAAGAACCTTTTAAACAGTTTTTATACGCCCGTTTACGGGACATATTATGGTATACCATTGTCCGTCGTCAACATGTCGGACATTAACTCAAAAACGCTTTAATCAATTTGCCCAAAAAAATTTGGTGAATTGTGTTATATCTATTGACGTGAGCTCCCTTTCGTTTTTTATAAATTTTAGATTTTACGTTTCCGAGTTATGGGGTTTTATTCATTAAAAAAAAGGGGGGTTTTCCAGTTTTCAGACAATAACTCAAGAATGCTTTCACCAACTTGCAAGAAATTGTGGTGAATTGTTTATACCTATTGACATGAGCTCCCTTTCGATTTTTATAAATTTTAGATTTTACGTTTCCGAGTTACAGGGTTTTATTAATGAATTATCATTTTATATTTCAGGTTAGCATCACAGCTTGTCTGTAAGGATTGAAGCTGGGAGTGGGCATTGGAGCTGACTTTTATGGTAAGAATCAATACATAGATTTATGAACTTTTCATCCAAGAGCATTTTAAAGCCCAAGATTTTTGTTAGGCACAGATGTAAATCTTACATATTAATGTCTTCTTTACTTATAGTTGAATAAACAATTTAGAAGGAGATATAAAGATATATAAGGGAAGTCAAAAAGTATAATGTATAATGCGAAATCTTGGGATTTCAGTTTTTTTGTTATCTATAGTTGTCCTCATATATGAAAATATGTAAGTGTGGTATGTATGCCAATGAGACAGCTATCAACCAGAGACCAAATGATGTGGATGCAACTAAATGTCACCCTATGCCTTCAACAATGAGCAAAACCTATATTGTATAATAAGCTATAAAGGTTCAACATGACTAAATGTTAAAAAATTCAATCAAGTATGTTAATAGCCTGATATACTATATATAGCTATAAAACAATGTTAAAAAGATATTTGTCAAGACATCAGCCAATGACTTGTTTTTCATCCTTTTATTGCTAAGAAATACTGGTACTTTAAAATTTATGTCAACAAATCACTTTATAACAAAGAAAAAGAAATGTTCTATACATTATGATTGTAATGCTCAGTTGATTATAATTGTTTTGCATTAAATATTATTTCAATGTTCATGAGTAATGTATATTTCTTTTTCAGATAACTGTGGCTGCATAAAATGGTTGTGTGATATAACTGCAACAGTAAAGAATGTAATTCAGACTATTTTTGTGTATGCTTGAGAAAATGTTTATAATTTTTTACAAAAAACAAAAAAAAAATATGTAAAGATTCTCCATTTTCAACAAGATTGGAAGTTGTAGGTTACTTATATAACTTGTATTTGACATTACAAAAAATCTTTCTATTTTCCGTTTATACTCATGTCTAGTCAAAACACTTCCATTTTTTAGATGGATAATCTAAAAGAAAAAGAAAAAAAAATGTTCAATTATTGAAATGTATTTTTTTTTTTGCAAATTTTAATGTACTGTAAATTCAGAAATTATTGCGATGTTTTTATTATTGCGAAAAATGCGACAGTGTTATAATCGCAATAATTAAAACTCGCATTTTGAAATTTTTTATATGTATTAAACAGGATTTTTCTCAATGTCGCAAAAATTAAAATCGCATTTTAGTCTAAAATGACAAAATCACAATAATAAATGCACGCAATAATTTCTGAATTTACAGTATATATTTTTGCCATCTTTTTGTTATTTTAGGATTTGAGATACTTTCAAATTTTACAAGTTACTTTATACATGTAGTTAATGCAATTAAATCTGCCGATGTGAATGTTCCCACTAAATTTCTTAGCAAAAATTTTAATTATTTTTGTTTTTTTAGCAACGTTTCAAAATACCTTACCATAGCAAATGCCTCTCTAATGTAAACTAAAAAGATGAATAATGGTCTGCAGTAAATATATCCCCTTACATTTTCTTTCATGTTAATTTTAATATCTTTAAGATATGTGATAAGGGTGCTCTAATGCAGAGGAATTTACGAAGTTAAGAAGTTAGAAATATATTTTTTGCACTTTTTTTTGTCATTTTTAGCTGATTTTGGTTTGTAACCAAGGTGATATTTTTTGAAGAATAATTTTACAAAAGGCATAGTTGAAGAACATCTTGTTGAAATTGGATTGGTTGATTTTTGGTGTTAAACACCATTTTAACATGATTTACTATAATTTTGGCTGTAAATTTTTATTTGTGGAGACAGCCAGAGTGCCTGGTCAAAACATAACCTTCATCAGGGAAACGGGCAAACCCTACTCAAATTAAGAATGAAGTTAAACATTTCATGTGAGGGTTCTCAGTGTTGACAGGCTAGTGATACAGTAGTTGAACTACTTTTTAGACCACTCTGCCACCATAAGTCGATCAGTATGAAATATTTTATTGAAATGTGTTAGATTTTTGTTATCCATCTATTTTTTAATTTCAATTGTACTATTTTATTTATTTTGTTTAATATAACAAGGATGTGGAGTCCGAACAGGGTGAAATATGGGTCAAAGGGAGGCAATTTATTATACCCCTGTTTAACTCCACATACTTGAAATTCCCTCAATGTTAGGATTTTCATCTACTTGGATATTCGTTTGTACATTTTTTTTTAATATCATTTGTATACTAGCTAATATTGACTATTATTTAGAGCTCTGTAATAAAAAAAAATAAATGTAAGCAGAGCTCTAGATAATAAGTATGCAGGGTAGGAGAAATCTTGGGTCATTAACAATTGATTTGCTAAAATTTTCAAGAAAGGGGACTTATTGGAAATGCATCTGATATATTTAATGTATAAAACTATATTTAAAAAAAAAAGATGTTAAGATGATGAGGAGAGCCACCTTGTCAGCCGGGAGAGCAGCTCTAAGGGAGATGGTCAATTTAATCTTCACCAAGTCTGAGGCTTTACCTTGAAAAATATGTGGTAAGTTTATATATTCCACAAATTTTATGGTAATAATATATAAATAGGCATTTAACATTATTTTTTAAGGGTTCTTTTCTATCAGTGTTTGATTTTTAGAGTATCTAGTCTTACATTTGTTTTCTGTCTGGTATCGAGTGAGTTGTGTTGGATAGAAACCAACTGTATGCAAGTTATCAATGAATTTGTAAACTTATTTGGATCGAACAAATTTTTATGCAAAGTCTGTAACTGTTTGAATATTGAATTGATATAGAATCATTTTCATAAAAGCATGGACTGTGAGTGAAGACGATTTCTTGGCGCTCTTATGTTATCTATTGACTGGGGTCAGATAAGAGGGGCCTGATGGGTTATTTTCGTTCTTCGTGATCAACGCATTTTCGCTATTGTGATCCGTTTTTCTACAGATTTTTTTTTTTTTTATATTTTCGTGATCCGTGATCATGGAAATTTATTTTCTGTGAATTGTGATTGACAAAAAAATCAACTCGTGAATCGTGATGAGACCACCCCATCAGGCCCCTCAGATAAGGTGAAAGTTTGTCGGTAATGCCCACTTTTCACATTGAATGTGTTATAGACATTTAAACTGGGGTCGCCAAAGGTTCTAAATGCCTACATCAAATAGTACGAATTACTAGCAGAGGACTAAACCTTGTTTGTTGATTTAAATGTTGAATAATTATTTTCTTTTTTTCTTCTCTTGTGCCTACATGTACTTTGCTCTTTTATTCTATTTAAATCCCTATTGGAAGGCCTCTGACAGACTGAGTGAGCGAAAAATCACTGTTATCGATAGCCAATGGCAAAACAAGTTAAAGGTACTGTAAATTCAGAAATTATTGCGTGCAATTATTAATAAATAAATTTGGTGTATTTACTGTCTTCTGATTGGTTAAAAGTATTACTTTTATTTTCAATGTCAATTTTTATGGCGACACGCCCACTCTGACATTGTATATTCATACGCCAACATCCGTGTACGTTGTTATGGTTAATATAAATAATATAAAAAGTTCTTTGAGCCTTATTTTTGATAGAAATTTATAATGAATGGCTATAATTTATTTTGAATTTATTGAACCATAAAATTAATTTTTGACTCTTCACATTTTACATAATCCGCTTCTCGGATTATTCAATGTGAAGAGTAAAAAATTAATTTTATGATTCAATAAATTCAAATAAATAATAACCATTCATTAATTGCGATTTTGTAATTTTAGACTAAAATGCGATTTTAATTTTTGCGATATTGAGAAAAATCCTGTTTATAATTCATATAAAAAATTTCAAAATGCTAGTTTAAATTATTGCCAATGCAACCATGTTGCATTTTTCGCAATGATAAAAACATTGCAATAGTTTCTGAATTTACAGTAATTGAGTTAGTATTATTACCAACATAAGTATTGGGGTTGTCTACACTGTTATGAAAATGATTTTAAGAACCATCAAAAGAGAACAAAACCATCCGATTTTGTAATTGAATATTCCAAAATCATTGTCTTATACATATACGTGCACTTGCACAAGATCAATTTCTATCTCTAGCAGTTTAAAGTTTATATAGTGAAGATGATAATGTATAACTGGTTTTAATAAATGAAACATAGCATTATTTCTTCTTAGAGACAGATTAATCTGTAAAACAAGTAATTATTTTTTTATTTTTTTTTTATTTTAGGTTGTTATAATGATGATGTTTTCATGGTGTTGGGAGTAAGACTTGGATGTCTGATATTGTTAACATGTTGGTAGGTAATCAAGCATCTTTTTAGTAATATAATATTTGAAATCAATTTCATAAGGTTCTTTAGTACCAAAAAAATTATTTTTCACTGATGAGATACCGGTTGAATTTTTTTGGTAAATATAAAACTGAGTTCAGAATACCAAATATTTTTTCCATGATTTTTATCTAGCCTTCGACTTTAGTCGAAAAAGCGAGACATAGCGATCCTACATTCTGTTGGCGGCGTCCACAAATATTCACACTGTGGTTTAAAGTTTTTGAAATTTTTATAACTTTCTTAAACTATCCTGGATTTCTACCAAACTTGGACAGAAGCTTGTTTATGATCATAAGATAGTATCCAGAAGTAAATTTTGAAAAAAAAAATTCCATTTTTTCCGTATTTTACTTATAAATGGACTTAGTTTTTCTGCCGGGAAATATTACATTCACTCTGTGGTTAAAGTTTTTAAAATTTTAATAACTTTCTTAAACTATCCTGGGTTTGTACCAAACTTGGACAGAAGCTTGTTTATGATCATAAGATAGTATCCAGAAGTAAATTTTGTAACAAAATAAATCCATTTTTTCTTTATTTTATTTTTAAATGGACTTAGATTTTCTGCCAGGAAACAACACATTCACTCTGTGGTTAAAGTTTTTAAAATTTTAATAACTCTTATACTATTTTGGATTTGTACCAAACTTGGACAGAAGCTTGTTTATGATCAAATGCTAGTATCTAGAAGGAAATTTTGTTTTCTTCTAGTTAACATTACATTTAGTCTGCAGTTAAAGTTTTTAAATATTTATTAGATTCATTAACTATCCTGGATTTTTACCAAACTTGGACAGAAGCTTCTTACAATCAAAAGATAGTATCAAGTGGAATATTTTTATTGATTTACTTCCTCATTTTTGTTGAGCCTGCAATTAACAGAAAAAGTAGGCGAGACACTGGGTTCCGCGGAACCCTTACAAATTTTTTGTTATCCTAGTGCAATTTTAAATTTAGTACATGTGTAATAATTTTTTTTAGGAAAGTTTAGTATAACTGACTTCTTTTATATTCCAGGTTAGCATCAGGTTTCCATTGGGTTACTTGCTGGGATACAGCTGTTATAAGGTGAGAACTTATTCATCAACATACAACTTTAATGTGTTTATGTTATAGTGTGATGAATGTCACTAAATAGATTTCAATATATATATTTTTTTTTATTAAAAAATCAGTATTCAATCTTTTCATTTTAAAATAATGTACCCTTTAAAGCAAATACTAGATCTGAAGAAGATATATGAAGGGGAGATAACAATAAAATCGGATATTTTTGATGCTATATATTTTTGAGTAATCAATATAAGTAATAAACAAATTGTTTAACATACACTGATGTCTGTTTCTTTATTCCCGTTAGATTATTTTAAAATTAAGAATCAACAATTGAAATTTAACTTTGTTTCTTTTTCAGTCGAAAGAGTTGCTGTTGCTGCCTTCCTTGTATGGTAAAATCCTCAGACTACAATCCTGCAAACCATTGGATGAACTGTTGCTATCTTTTGTAAAAAAATCAGCAGATATTTGTCTTATAAGCAGAATGAATTATAAATGCAATTAATGTTTAATGCTTTATTATTCAAATTATAAATATTTATTTCATTATTTTTTCTTGCATTCAATTATTGTTTTGTGATTGAAGAAATATAAAAAAAAACTGTGAAATTATTGTTATTTGAGAGGTCCCAAAGGTATGATGTATGGTTTCACAAGATACCCATAAGACTTGCTTCAGTTTACATATATTTTTTAAATTATATATATGTACACTGGTTAAGAATTATAAGTCCTTTGTGAAATGATTTTTTCTGGTTAGAAACCTATTAAGTAGGACTTTGATGGCCAAACACTAAAAGGGAATAAAAAAAATCCCCTATTAAACAATCTAAGTACTGAGTTTTTGGTGCAATATGAACTAGAAATAAAAATGTTTAGTTAGATGGTTTGTTTTGACTCTGCATTCTTTAGTTTCATACAAATTAATGGCTGTCAGTTTTATTTATTGGTTTTGTTTATATATTATAAATGCATTATTCAGCATCTGAGACCACTCAAGTGAAAATAATTATAGTTTTTGCAGTTTGTCATATTTTCTCATTTTTGTTTGATTGATTTCTATATTTTTTCTCATTTTTTCTCATTTATGATTATTTATATTTTAATGTTTGATTTTTGAGGCTTGTACTCAGCTTCTAAACAATTACCTCCCCCCTCCACATGTATAACCAGGATCCTGTAAAAGAAGTTTTGATTTTGAAGGAGGGATGGATAATTAAAAATGCAAGATTTTTTTAATGTGCTAGTTCATAATGTAAAAGTCTGCACAAGACATCTAACCCTACCTGAACACATTATTCTGACTTCCAGCTGACCAGTCTTTGCTCTTACTCCTAATTGCTGAATGCTTAGCAGGGGAGCATCAAATACCAATTTTCAATTCTTTGATATGACCCAGGGCAGGACCAAATCCCATGCCCATCTGCACTCATGTTGAGCATAAAAAGGTTATTAAAGAAGATTTGTCTGTCTGTTTGTCCATCATCATCTCTCATCCACAGCTTATAAACTATTGGAAGGTTTTCATTTAAACTTTCAGATTATCTTCTGTATCTAATGGCTGTGTGTATTTTATTTTATTATAATGAAATTTTGGGGTTCTCAATTGTAATGAATGGACCTCCTAAGTATTTGAATAAAAAAAGGGAAAGAAGCTTCTCATACCACCATTTTATCATGTGAAGGATAGGTTGGTTCAAATATATTTGTTTTTAATCATGTTTTTAGTAGTTGGATCTCATTATGACAAAATTTTAATGACTTAAATTCAAAATAAATTTGGGGTTCACACTGATATATATTACCACTGTAGCTTTAATGTAAATTTTATAAGGCTTTGCTATAACAAGATTTGTGTTTTATCTTGTTTTATCTGATTTTAGTGGTTTTTATGTGATTTTAATTGTTTTTACTGTCAAATCTTGTTATACCAAGCCTTAGTATGATTGAGTTTATATATTTTGATTATACATGCAATTCAAAATATAAATTTACATAATGAGATCAGACATTTATTATGCTTTTAACTCTTCTTAGTGGATAAAATAGAAAAATGAATGAACATAAATATTGAAGTGGTCATTGAAGATTGACCAAATTACAAGATTTATAAATGCAGAATCTTGCTCTAACTAAATCTATGTTCTTATCAGCTGAACCAACCTATCCTTCAATATGAGTAATAAAATTTTATAAATGGAAAAGTCCATTCTTCGATTGGGGAACCTTTGGATGTGAAAAAAATATACACAATGCCAACAGATACTCAGAAGATTATTTGAAAGTTTAGGCAAAAACAATTTAATCCTTTATTTGTGATTGGAAGTTGTAGACGGATGAGCAAACAGATGATATACTTGCTTACTATGGCACATTTCCTAAAGGATATGGACTATGGGTATGGGTTTTGCTCATGGTTGAAGGCTGTAGGTGACTGATAGTTGTTAAATTCTATGTCATTTGGTCTCTGGTGGAGAGTTGTCTCGTTGGCAATCATATCTCCTCTTTTTATTTTATATGAAATAATTACTTATTACTTCCTGGGCAAAAAGTTCTGGTTCCAAGAAAATAATAAAAAAAAAATACTTATATCATACATGTATTGTTAAATAACTATCCTACTTTGATATAAAGAATTGACTTTGGTTAGAAATTGGGAGGAATTATAAAGAAACTTTATATACAATATAAGAGCTTGGGGTTATAATGTTTAATGAAATGCAGTTAACTATTTCCTTGGTGATCTAATAATTTTTGCACAGATCACGATATTAGTTTATTTAAATAACCCAGTAAATAAATTGAGTACACCTCATAAATGAATTTGATTCATGTATTTTTATGCATTTTTTATCTTAGTATTTACCATTGTATTCCTTGTTATATTTGTAAATGCCTCTTCGTATGTGACAAACTGAGGATTCATATATTTTATGGAATTATATAAATTTATTTTAAGTTAGGTATTTAAAAGTATTGGAAAGCACCAAGTTTAATATTGAGCAAAAAAAATATTCCTTTAGGACCTAAGGATATTAAAATTTAAGATGTGTATCTCAGAACAGAATGGATTTTCTAAATTCTATTTAAACAGCTAGTCTGGGAACTGGTATAAAACTAAAAAGAATCCTCAGCTCTGTCAGTTATTTTGTATAATTGTAATATTTAACCAATGATACCTTACCCATGATGCAGATCCTTTTCCTCCTTTTACTTATAAAGGGACTAAAAACTTATTATTATTACAATTTCTTTGGTATTTGTACACACTTGATGGAGCAGAATGGGTCTGGTTTCATTTGGGTATTTTATATTATGATGCATGATAATGATATAAATAAATAGGTAAATAAAAATTTAATTGAGAAAACCTATCTTATATTTTATTTGAGTCTGAATGACAAAGGGGGAAGAGGTTTCTGTGGTCAATGGTAACACACAGCTGATTTATTGTATGGTATGGACGAAGTTGAAAAAGCGAGACTTGGGCATGCTTTTTCCATAAGCAGGAGCTTCAACAATGTATTTGATTGTGATAAGTTCAAGTTAAAGAAAACAACTAGTGGTAGGTCAATGATATTTGGTATGCAGTTATATAAGCATTGAAACATCTTATTTCTAAGGAGATTATTTTGCTTCTCTCCCTCAGTCATAGTCGACTTAAAACTTTTAATTAGTTGACATGTATAAGTTTGTGATTAGGTCAATTGAAAGGGAACTATAAGTGGTATGTCAATGATATTTGGTATACAGATGTATAAGCATTGACAAATCTCAGTTCCATAGAGATTGTTCAGCTCCAGACTCAGTCATGGTTTATTGACTGAATGTTTTGCATTATTTACATGTGATTTGTGATTAGATTAGTTTAAAATGAGTAACTGATATTTGGTATGCAGTTGTATTGGCATTTGCAAGTCTCATTTTCATAGAGATTATTTGGTCCCACTTCCTTATTATATGGTTCATGGACTTTGAAACTTTCACAGTTTAACAAGGAACCAATTGATAAGTCAATGGTGTTGGGTATGCAGTTTTATAAGCATTAGCATTTCCATGGTGTTTTTTTTTTTTTGCCCTGAACCGTCAGTCATGGTTCATTGCATAGATAACAAGTTTAAATTTAATTTCAACATTTGCATTATACCACCAAAAAACGCAAGACATACGGTATCTCTGTCAACAGTTTATATTTCCATCTCTTGGTATCTTTCAACATGTTTTGAGTTTTAAATGTCACAGAAACTTCTTTGCTAGTTTAAACAAGACTTGACACAAATGATACTTGGGAATTACATGACAGAAATGTTCATTGGACTTGCTGATTACCTGATTGGCTGCCAAGTCTTTGAATAGATCTAGAATTCTAAAATGATCTAGTTAATTTATATAAAGGCTCATCAGATACAAAAAACAGGGATACAGATCTCGCAGTGGATGCTCCTGATATAAAACTTCATAATCCAGACTGAAGAAGAATGAGTTAATCCATATCTTGTATGCAGTTGCCTTAAGCTTATGGTCTGGTTTAATCTGGCATATGAACATTATCTTGATTCCATTTTTAAGGGTATGTGTACATTATTTGTTTTCAAATTAATTTGACAGTTTTTATGTGTAATAAGGACAATTAATTCTCTTATGGTTATTGCCTGTGATCTATTTCTCACATGAAGAGATATATTTTGTATCACATTACATGGATTGGGATAAGAAAGAGGTTTACGAAAAATTTGTTAATTTGAGTTGGTCATCCTGCACATTTGGTCATCATTTAGGTTCCATGACTTGGTCTGTTCTCGGTCAGATTCTCTAGGTCAACAATGTATGGTGTACAGAATGATTGTTATGTGAATATGATTGTCTGATGAGATACATCTGACCTTGGCCTTTTTTTGAAGTGTGGTTAACATTAAGTTTTTATAGACTGCAAAACTTTTGCCATTTTAATATAATGGTGTGGATATGTGGTCATTGTGGTCTGTAGACATGTTTTCCAGACAATAATGAGTATAAGTGTATAGATCTCAAAGAAATAAAACCACAAGGTCCCATACCACAAAAGGAAGGTATGAATTGAATTTGGGGTTATTACCCTAACAGTTTAGGAATAAAGGTTAAAAAAAAAAGATTTTCCATGGTTTCCAGACCATAACTTGAGAATAAATTCATGGATTTCTATGAAATTATTATACAAGATTTCAAACCAAAAAGGGAAAGTTGGAATTGATTTTGGTGATTATGGCCCAAACTGTTTATGAATTAGGAACCAAACAAACACCAATACTTTGTATACATTATTTGTTTCTTGACCAATTTCAATTTCAATGAGAATCATGTATTCTTTGGGTTCTTTAATATGCTGAATTTGTTACCATGTTTGTGTATTTCTGTTTTCGAATTGGTTCACATTCAGGTCCAAAGGGTCCAAAATTAATCTAAGTTTGATTTAAACCCAAAATTGAATTCTTTGGGTTTTTTTTATATAATCAAACTGTGTATTTAGATATAGGCCCATTATCAAATTGGTTCACATTAAGGTCCAAATGGTCCAAAATTAAACTTTGTTTGATTTAAACCAAAATTTTAATTCTTGTGGTTCTTTGATATGCTGAATCTACAGGTAACTGTGATCTGTATTTAGATTTTGGATGTTTAGCCCTGTTAACAAACTAGTTCAAATTGAGGTCCAAAGGGTCCACAATCAAAATGTTAAAAATTGAATTTTTTGAGTTCTTTGAAATGCTGATTCTAACTTATTTTAGATTTTGGATATTAGGGTATAGGTAAATGTACCACATTCATTTGGAGTCCAAAACCTATGCTGTGTCAAATA